AGGCCCCACAGCAGCTTGCATTGCTTCACAGCCGGGCCTCATCTGGGCACCTCCAAACCCCAAAAAAGGAAGGGGAATCTGCAGATCTCTTCGTAGCTCCTGCTGGTAACCTCTGGCAGAGGCTAAATTAGCACCTCCTTAGATCCAAGAGCCAGTGTACCCAGTGGTCAGAGTGGGACCATCCAATTACAACTCCTCAGATCCATAAGGGACAAACTCAGGGGACAGACTCAGTGAGCACCAAAGCCCCACTGAAGCAAGTCTTGCCCCAGAAGGGTGTTTCAGCACAGAAGTTCTCCCACTGCAGACACAGCTGATTCTCACTGCCAGTTGGCCTGGAGGTCAATTCCTCCCAGTGATACCTACAACAACCAAGGCATAACTACAACAGGACTGTGCACAAAGCCCACAAGGGGGTGCACCAAGAGTGTCCACCTCAGGTAACTGGGTAGGCTGAGCCACTGGGCCCTATAGGACACCTAGCACACAAAACCACTCTACCAACACAGGGAAGCATAAAAAATGCGGAGACAAAGAAACAGGTCACAAATGACAGAAATGGAGGAAAGAAAACGACTGGATATAGAGTTCAAAACCACGTTTATAAGGTTTTTCAAGAATTTTCTGGAAACCGCCGATAAATTTAGTGAGACCCTGGAGGATATGAAAAAAGACCAACTAGAAATTAAGCATACACTGACTGAAATAAAGAATAATATACAGAGATCCAACAGCAGACAAGAGGATCCCAGGAATCAAGTCAAAGATTTGAAATACGAAGAAACAAAAAATACCCAACCGAAAAAGCAAAAAGAATAAAGAATCCAAAAATATGAAGATAGTGTAAGGAGCCTCTGGGACAACTTCCAGCGTACCAACATCCGAATTATAGGGGTGCCAGAAGAAGAAAGAGGGCAAGATAGTGAAAACCTATTTGAAGAAATAATGACAGAAAACTTCCCCTACCTGGTGAAAGAAATAACTTACAAGTCCAGGAAGTGCAGAGAACCCCAAACAAAAGGAATCCAAAAAGGACCACACCAAGACACATCATAATTAAAATGCCAAGAGCAAAAGACAAAGAGAGAATCTTAAAAGCAGCAAGAGAAAGACAGTCAGTTACCTACAAGGGATTACCCATACGACTGTCAGCTGATTTCTCAACAGAAACTTTGCAGGCCAGAAGAGAGTGGCAAGAAATACTCAAAGTGATGAATAGCAAGAACCTACAACCAAGATTACTTTATCCAGCAAAGCTATCATTTAGAATTGAAGGTCAGATAAAGAGCTTCACAGATAAGGAAAAGCTAAAGGAGTTCATCACCACCAAACCAGCGCTATACGAAATGCTGAAAGCTATTCTTTAAGAAGAGGAAGAAGAAAAAGGTAAAGATAAAAATTATGAACAGCAAATACATATCTATCAACAAGTGAATCTAAAAATCAAGGGAATAAAAAATCTGATGAACAGAGTTAACTGGTGAATATAATAGAACCAGGGGCAAGGAAAGGGAGTGGACTGACAATTCTCGGGGGGAAAGGAGTGTGGGGGTGCAGGAAGAGACTGGACAAAAATTGTACACCTATGAATGAGGACAGTGGGGGATGGGTAAGGGCAGAGGTTGGGGTGCGAACTGGGTGGAGGAGAGCTATGGGGGGGAAAAAAAGAGGAACACCTGTAATAATCTGAACAATAAAGATTTAATTTTAAAAAATTATGAATCACTTATCCTATCTAATAATAGACAAACATGGCAATTGACCGTACCTTCGCTATACCTCCCATCGGCTAATCAGCACAATATGCAAATTAACCACCAACAAAGATGGCGGCTAATTTGCATACTGCAGGCAGGGCAGGACAGCACCTGCCGCCATCCAGACCTCCATGTGTGACACCAGAAGCTGCCTGCCTGCCACCTGTGATCGGATTAACAAAAGCAAAGTAAATGGATTAAGTAACATTAAAGAGATTATAAGAAAAATATATTCCAAATTTTGTTAGTTGTATAATGGTTATGTTTAAATTAACATTAACACCTAAGAAATTGGGTGGAAAAAAAAATAAATTGGGTGAAGGGTACATATAATATGCTATAGTATTTTATAGTTTTTTTTTACATGTATGAGATTATTTCAAATTAAAATATTAAAAAATTAAAAATTAATAAAATAGTAATTGAAATGTATCTGCATTACATGAAAAATCTCCTAATTGCTTCTAGCATAATTTATTAAATTGTGCAAAAATTTACAAGGGTTCAATTAAAAAATATCTTAATTCTAAATGATATACTAGAAAATATATAATAGTGCAGTTATAAGTGCTTGTCTGAAAATAAAAATTTAAAGAAGTGAATTTAAAGAAGGGTTTAGCCAAAGAAAATATATGCACAACCCATGGACACAGACAACAGTATGGTGATGGCCAGAGAGAAATGGAGGCAAGAGCTGGGTAGAGGGGGCAAAAGGGGGGAAATAGGGACATCCTATATAATAATAATAAAAGGCTAACATATGCAAATTGACTGAACAGCAGAATGACCGGTTACTATGATGTGCACTGGCCACCCGGGGGCAGACGCTCAATGCAGGAGCTGCCCCCTGGTGGTCAGTGCACTTCCATATGGGGCGTGTTTCTCAGCCAGAAGCTGGCTCATGGTTGGCCAGAGCAGAGGTGGTGGCAGGAGCCTCTCCCACCTCTGTGACAGCACTAAGAATATCCAACTAAGGGTTTAGGCCCGATCCCTTGGGGGCCTAAGTCTTTAGTTGGACATCCCCCAAGGGTTCCCTGGCTGCCAGAAGGATGTCTGACTACAAGCTTAGGCCTGATCCTCCAGAGAGTGGGCCTAAGTCGACAGGTGGACATCCCCCAAGGGGTGGATTGCAAATGGGCACAGGCCCGGCTGAGGGACCCCCTTCCCCGAGTGCACAAATTTTTGTGCACCAGGCCTCTAGTCCTATCTAATAATAGACAAACAGGGTAATTGACTGTACCTTCGCTACGCCTCCCATTGGCTAATCAGCGTGATATGCAAATTAAGCACCAACAAAGATGGCGGTTATTTTGCATACATAGGCTCCAAGTGGTGGAGTGAAGACTGAAGGTGAGCCAGAGCCGTGAAGATGGAAGATGGAAGATGGAAGATGGAAGATGGAAGATGGAAGGCGGCTCCGGCTGGGGCCACGAAGACGGAGGATGGAAAGTGGCTCCGGCTGGAGCGAAGGCCTGGGTCCTGGGTGCCGAAGGAAAACCAGTGCCGGCAGCCAGTAGAAGGGAAGGCCTATTGCACGAATCTCTTCGTGCAACAGGCCTCTAGTATAATAGAATATTAGATAGCGGTTGTTTTAAAAAGGGGAATACTAACATGGAAAACTCTCCAAGACGGAATGTTAAGCCCAGCCAGAGTGGCTCAGTGTTTGAGCATCTATGAACCAGGAGATCACGGTTCGATTCCCAGTCATGGCACATGCCCAAGTTGCAGGCTCAATCCCTAGTAGGGGCACGCAGGAGGCAGCTGATCCATGATTCTCTCTCATCATTGATGTATCTGTCTATCCTTCTCCCTTCCTCAGTCAATAAAAAAATATATTTAAAAAAGACATGCTAAGTGAATAAAGCAAAATAATACATACAGTATAACTTCATTTCTACAGCAAAGATACATATTTGCATATACATATGAGTATATGTGAAGTATAGGAAAGGACTTGGAAAAATACTTAACACATGAGAAAATTTTTTAAAAAAATGATGTTAATTAAGTGATAGTAGTTGTGTCTAAGTCACTTTTAGGGAGGGATTAGGGAGTCCTCCCCTTACCAAGAGTGCTCTGTAGGGCTCTCCTGCAAGTTCTTTGGGGCTGTGCACCTTGGCCCCACCCACTCACCAAGGCCATGCTACTCAGCAGTCTGGCATCTGGCCAGACACCTCGGATTTGCATTTGGGCTTCTCTTTGTTGTGCCCTGTGCTGCCTTGAGCAATTGATCTCCACCCTGTACTGAGTTGCATGTCTTGGTCAGGTACTCTGGTCCCTCCTTCAGATGGAGGTGTCCTGGGTGCTGTACCCTTTGAGCAGCCAAAGAGTCTGAGATGCTGGGTGTGAGCTAACTACCTGGGATGGCCAGTCTAAGCCCTCCTCTCTTGGCTCGCTTAGTGTTCCTGTGATCTCAGAGGACCTCATCCTGGCCTCCCCACAGGTGCTCATGAGGTGCTTGTCCCAGATCTGATCCCCAAGGACAAAGCAGTCTTCTCTTCATTCCTATAGTCATTGGAGTTTTACCCCTCTACCCGCTTCTCTCAAATTCTGTAATTGGGATAAGGAAGAGGGCGGGCTTCTTACTCAGGCTCCTGTGCAACTGTTAATAGTCTTTTCCTGTAGTTCAGCTCATTGTAGCTCACCCACACAGTCCTCTCTCTAGGGACCTGTCAGTATGGAGCAGGTTGGGCTCAGAGACCACCAGCCATCACGAGTGGACCCTTAAAATATTAGAGAATGGACCCTGTCACTCCATCCCCAACGGCCCTGCCAGCTTGTGTTCTTTGAACATCCATCTCCTCAGATGAGCGACCTCACTACCTACCCTGTGATGAAGGGGAGGTCCTCATTCCACCCCTACTTGGGGAGCTCAGCCCTGGGATGGCTCCAAAGCACAACCCGTTCACCATCTCTCCCAGAAGCACATTGAATCCTCCTGGAACGGGACCTCCAGGAGGCACCAGGTGGCGTAACACGTAGCTGCATAGTTTAAGCTCTTACTCGGAAATTCTAAGTTATACACAAAATTATTTTCTTTGGCCACTTTTTCTATAGACACAAGGAAAACCAGTGCCAAGTTGTGATGTAGCAATGAACAAAGTTTGCCTGAACTCTCCTGTTTGGATTTCCATCTATCAGAAAACATTCCCTACTTAGAAAGACATCAGTTACGAAATAGAACAAAGTAACTAGATCATGTTACACATTTACTGTTCTGCCCCCCTCACACTCCTCTCCGGTGACACTGAGGGTATAAATTGGGGCTGGGCTCAGTGTGTGCATTCACATCAAAGGCCAACATGAAGACAGGCACGGTCTTTGTACTAGTGGCTTTTGTCATCTTGGGGATGGAGATGGCCTTCGCTCAGGCACGTAAGTAAGGGTAGAAGTAAGGGTGCTGAGGGGGTCCTACCTGAGAGCAGAGGAGGCTCAGAGCTCAGCTTCTTACCTGGGATGGTGTGGCACAGGAACAGCCTGCCAAGTGGAGATTTGGCATTGATCAGACCCACTTTCTTTAACCTTCAGGAGTGATCACCCTACGTTTCACATTCTTCTTCTTTTTCAATCCTCACCCTAAGATATGCTTATTGATGAGAGAGAGAGAGAGAGAGAGAGAGAGAGAGAGAGAGAGAGAGATTGAGATTGAAGTGAGAGAGAACATTGGTGGGTTGCCTACTATATGTGCCCGGAGTGGGGATTGAACATGAAAACTTTCAGTATGTGGGGTGATGCTCCAACCAACTGAGCCACACCAGCCAGGGCCCCATTCTTCTTATCAGATCCGGTTGGGCCTTATCCAAAGTTGGGGCTCTCTCTACATGTGCCTGGGATGTAGGGCTCCAACAAGGAGTAGCTCCGGCATGAACATGGGGTATGTGTGAGGTGGAAAGACGGATGTCTGGGATCAGAAAGGTTTCTAATATCTTATGAGGAGGAAAGAAGAGGCTTATGACAGAGCAGGTTTCTTGCCTGCTGGGACTGGGCAGCCATTGCAGCAGAGAGAACATTCTCCTAAGGGCCTGACTGTGACAATGGGGGCTTCAGTGTGAGGGTGGAGTTGCCGAGGCTGAGGGATGGGTCCAGGAGTAAAAGGAAGAAATGAAAGAGGTGGGAGTCCTGCCAGCAGTGAGCCCGTAGACTTCTAACAGAAGTTTTTATACCTGGTTAGTGACTATTCCAGACTCCACAAACACCATTGTATGTTTCAGGGGAAAACAGACCTGGACTCTGCCCCAAGGTGCCCGAAGACGCCTTTGGGCTTTGCGCTGAATCCTGCTCAGGAGACGAATCATGTCCCAGTGGAATGAAATGCTGCAGCAATGGATGTGGCCATGACTGCCAAACTGCTATCCCTGGGGTGAGTATAAATCAGTCAAGAGCTGACAAGGGTTTTAACAACTCCCCAGTGGACTTTTCTGGGGGCGATGGATGTTCACATGTCCACTGCACATAAGAATCTGGGTAACTCCAAGAGAAAGAGGCTGGAAGTGAATGGCAGAAGGACACCTGGCTGCATTATCTAAGACCCTCTCCTTGAAGAGAAGCCCTATCCCTGTCTCTGTCCCCGAGGGGGCTCTCAGTTGAGACAAGTAACCATGATCCTAGATTCACCGGTCATTATTGACCCAGGGTTTGTCACCCTCCTTTCCCTTCCCCACCAAGGGGGCTTCACTCTTCCTAGAAAATGGGTGATCCTGGGAGGCAGAGGGAAAGGAAATAGAACCCCAATTATGGAGTATCTCCTGTGTCAGTCAGGCATTGTGATGATGTTGAGATAAAAAGGTAAACACAGCTAGTTCATGGAGACAGAACTATGCAAATAATTACAACCCAGGGTGACCCCAGCTTTGCACAAATTTCTACTAAGGTCTGTGGAAGCACAGGGAATAATTATTGGTTTTGCCTTAGTGGGTGGATAAGTGCGGCTTGGCAAGGTTGTCAGAGAGTAGAGAACATTTAAGGGAGAACATTTATGCCTTAAAGGAGGCATAAAGTTTGCCACAGTAAGGAAGGGCAGTAGAGATGATGGGGAAATGGGGGTCCTACGCTGGAGATGGGAAAGTGATTGGGATTGTGGTCGATAGAAGTTGCAACATCTCAGTGGAGGATCATCCAAGCCAGGGCCCAGAAAGAAATGAGCTGCCTTGCCAAAGAGTTGGGCAGACTGCTTGAGGTTTCTGAGCAGAGGAAATGTCAAGACCAAATATATATTTTAAAAGGATGATATTGATGACCACGAGGAAGAAGAATGGGGGGGGGGTGGTTTAAGCGTGCCTGGATACATGAATCTAATGCTTGGCGTAACAACACTCTTTAACACATCATTCCTGACAGGCGTCTATCCCAGAAAATGAAGATCTACCGTGGTGGTGTCTGATTCTAAGGAGCTTGTGTGCAAAATAAATCTTTCCTGTGGCATTATTGAGACTGTGTCATTCTTCCCGTTTAGACGTTCTTTCTAGTGGACCCTCTGTGGATGAACAGAACGGACTGTGTGCCCTGTACTGAGCCCATGAATACGAGGCACTCAGGATGGATCAGAGGCACAGTCTGCCAGCTAGTTTCTTTCCTCCTTCCATGTCCATGTATCTAAACAGGGCAAAGGGCATGATAATATTTTCTCAAGCATTCTGGGAATATGCTTTTGGTCAAGAAAAAAATGACCTTCTAGCACATAACAGGCCTATAGTCGCAGCCTTTAATAGGGCAAGACTCAGAAGGAGTAGGAGCAGAAGCAAGTGTAGAGATACCCTATTCTAAGGCAATCCACCGACATGTAGCAGGACTGGATGCGTACCATGATGAAAACAACCCTGGCCCTTGGGATGTGGGGCTTTGAGTGGCGTGGCCTGGGAAGTGGTTAGGAGTTAGGATAAGTTGGGACATAGGTTCTGTGGGTGGGGTCTTTGATTCAGAGTTTTCCTGAGGCAGAGGATAAGCCTGGGTCTCCCAAAGAAGCCCTGACAAAAACAATGGTCTGGGCTGACCCTACAAGCTCCATCTCCCAGCGCTCCCTGTTCACTTTTCCACCTCGATTGCCCCACGTAGCCTTCTGCCATGGTCTGCAATGCCTGCTTGTCCCTGCCGTCTAGCACATCTTATAACCCCGGTGGCCCATGGCCTCACCAGCCTGTGCATTGGGATGAGGGCATATTAGCTTTGATATCTTCTTTTACTGGCTGGTCATCCACACCCCAAATCCCACCATGCTTCTGGCTCTCTTGGTCATTACTGGGGGCTCATGAGCACACCCATAACATGTTCTCAAACAATTTCACCTACTATCTGCCATTCTGAATGCCACGGTATTACCTTCCCCTGCAGATACTTGAGGATGGCATCCTACAACGTCCACTTATGTTTCTGCCCTTTAGTTAGTCCTGACGTCTATACAGATTCTGTAGGCATGCAGACGTGTCAGACTCTGTGGTCACCCAGATTTTGGAGCCACATGTTAGGGGAGGATAATTAACACACACCATGCACAGGCAATTTCACATGTAGTATCTCACTTTACACTCACCACAACTCTATAATATCATCTCAGTAACAGAATTTTTTGTAAATTTTACAGATGAAGAGACAGAGTGTCCAAGTAGCTAAATGACTTGCCCAACATTACACTCCTTTTTAAAAAATTTGTTTTTATTAAAGGTTTCAGAGAGAAGAGGGGTGAGGGAGAGAGATAGAAACATCAATGATGAGAGAGAATCATCAGTTGGTTGCCTCCCACATGCCCCCCACTGGGGACTGAGCCCACATCCTGGGCAACTGCCCCTATGGGAATTGAACCATGACCTGCTGGTACATAGGTTGATGCTCAAACACTGAGAAAAACCAGCCAAGCCCAACACTCTTAATGAGTAGAGGAGCCAGTCTTCTCCATGTCTGTTTGGCTTTTAGGTAAATGCTCCATGCCCTGTGCCATGCTGACCTTCTCTCCCAAAGAGGGAAGATATTCACTGTCAGGCTCTCCTGGTCAGGTGTTACAGTCTCAATAGAAAAACAAATATGGATTATCTATGTTTCATATTTAACAGCAGGACAGGGAGGGTGGAGCAAAGGAGCACTGACTGGGTCTTTTCTCTTTCCACACCGTCATCTGCAACGGGTTTTATAAGCATTAAAGAAAGTTTTCCCAGTATCCCTTTGGGTTTCCACTGCCAACCCATATTTATATTTTTAAAAATGAAGAATTATAAGTATATATTTGGTAGGAATTTTTCAATGAACCAAAGCTCTTCATCACCTCTGGGCTGGCTGCCTCTCCCATGTACAGCCTATGTGTGGCTTCCTGACCACCCACCATTCCCCAATTCTATGCCATGAAGTAGAGTTGGCCCCACTTCCCTAACACAGCAGCAATGTACCTATGTGTGTAGTTGGGTCACAGAAATCTGAGACTTCCTCCAGCCTGGCCAGGTAGCTTCTGAGTCTTTTCCCTCACCATCTGTGCATGCATACTGTAGACAAGGAAGTCATGTAAAAGCCTGTATTGGGAAAGGCTTTTCCAAGTGCTCTTTTTTCTGTGATTATTTATTTACCTTCTTGCAATGCCAAGCTCCAGAGCACACTCGAGGCGTAGCACATGCATCAGGTCTGCTTCCTTGGGCTGCTCCCCTTGCTCTGGTTTTGCTCTTCTGGAAGTCTGTGAACAGATGGTGTAGGAAGGTATCCCTGGAGGCAATGCCTTTCAAAGCTTGTTTCTTTAAAAAAATATATATATTTTCATTGACCTTAGAGAGGAAAGGAAAGAGAGAGAAAGAGAGAAACATCAACAATGAGAGAATCATCTATTGGCTGCCTCCTGCACACCCTCCCACTGGGGATCCACCCCATAACCTGGGCATGTGCCCTGACCAGGAATCTAACCATGTCCTCCTGGTTCCTAGGTCGATGCTTAACCCCTGAGCCAAGCTAATCAGGACAAAGTTTGTTTCTTATTTCCAAATGAGCCCTTGACTTGGAGAAAAAAAAAATCACAGATCCCACAAAGGGCCTTTCGGTGGAATGAACTGATAGCCTTATTCTCTTGGAAGTCATAACCACTCCTTGCAAAGTGATTGAGAAAACAAAAAATCATACCCATAAAACCAATAAACCAAGAACAACCAGTACACTCTTGCAGTTAACAGCTCTCCCAGCCCAGTTTACACAGAAAATTAGCTTATTTACAGCTTCTTTCTCCAAATAATCATTTAACCAAATCTCAGTGTGTGAGGCATAGGTGCCGCACGAGCTGTTTGGACAGGCTGTGTGGAAAGTGTGAGTAGATCAGAATGGGAATGTTGGCTATGGAGTTGGGGAATGTACTATTTTATTTCACGAGGACTTTCTCACTGAGATATACATTCTGGGGCACAGTCCTTACAGGACCTGGGAGAAATTTGACACATTCTATTTAATCCAAGATTAATTAATAGAGCTTTGTTTTTAAGGAGAAATAGTTTAGTTTTAAAACTTTTTATTATAGGAAAATGTAAACACATACAAAGCAGATAGAATTGTATAATGATATACCACATACCCATCACTCAGCTTAAACCACTGTTAATGTGTAATCATTCTTCTTTCATAATCCCATTCATTTCCCCTCATCTCATGCTATTTTGAAGAAACTTCCAGGCATTATTTAATGACATAAATAGCGGCCTGATGCACAAATTCGTGCAGGAGTAGGCCTTCCTTCCCCTGGCTGTGGGCACCAGCTTCCCTCTGGCACCGGGGACCCTGGTACCCTCGCATCCCTGGCTTCATTTGGAAGGTCGTCCAGAAGGATATCTGATCTAATTAGCATATTATGCTTTTATTATTATAGATTACTTCTGTATGTATCTTTAAAAGATAAGAACTCCTTTTGTGTGATTTCTCATACCTGTTTACTGTTATTGTTTTATTTCCTCTTTATTAGCTAGATGATCTTTCACTCTGTAACCTATTTTAGTGGTGTAATCTCTCCCTTTCTCTCTCTCTTACTATATGTTTTGTATTTAGAACGGTTTATATTTTTGTTGTAATAGTTCTCTTATAGTAACACCTTTAAGTATTACCTTTGCTCGCTTCTTTTTATGTGGATAATTATAAGTGAACTAATATGAGTAATAGCCATAATAAAATTAGCTAATTTCATCTTTTTCTTCCACCCTTTCCCTACCCCCCAACCCCAACATCTTTGTTCTAGATTGTCTTGATTCAAGGTGAACACTTTATAAGTTATATAAATGTATAACCACGATGTTGTACATCTGAAACTAATATAATATTGTATGTCAACTGTAACCAATAAGAAAACAGGAAAAAATTGTCCTGATTATTCTTCATTTTTAGGACTTTCATATAAGTTTTAGTATTCGTTTATGAATTTTCATTTAGAAATCCTAAGATTTTCATTGGAATTTCATTAAATTTCAATTTCGGGAAAACTCATATCTTCATGATTGTGAATCTTCGAATCCATGAAGATAGTATATGACTCCGTTTATTAAGATCTTTTCAAATATTTTCTTAGTAATATTATGTAGTTTTCTGAATATAATTTGTTAGATTTATACTTAGGTAATTGATGGGCTTTTGGATGATACTGTAAAGGCATTTAAAATTTTATTCTTCAAGTGTCAGACTTAAAAGCTTTTAACTAGTCTTTCCTCTCCTCAGGCATCTGTGAGCACCAATGCAGAGCGGGCAGGGACTGTGGGCAAGGAGAACAGTGCATCAGGGAGGGCTGTGGTCACGTCTGCTCCCCCATGATTCCAATAGGTAAGTCTTTTTTAAAATTTCAATTTACATATTTTTAATTTGACAATTACACTTTACTTTCAGTATTATTGTACACTGGGTTCAAGTACACAGCGCAGTGATTGGAAAATCATATACTTTACAAAGTGTTTCCCCTGATATTTTCAGAACCCAGCTGTCACCACCCATAGTTATTATAATACTAGAGGCCCGGTGCACCGGTGGGGTTTCTCTGCACGGTCTGCGGGAATCGGTACAAAACCCGCAGTCCAACGCCACCTGCCACTCCTGCTCATCCCAGCCCGGGCTGCGCCTGCCACGGACTCTCTCCCAGTCAGTCCTGATCTAGAGAGGCTTGCACTACTCTCTCCCAGTCAGTCCCAATCTGGAGAGGCTTGCACCGCTGCAGTGGAGCTCTCAAGCCATGAACCCTGTTTCTGGCATCCGTCCTGAGGAGGGCGCGGGGGCCTGGATGTGATCGGGCCCTCCAGGTGGGTGGTGGGATACCCTTGCTGGCCCAGGATCTTTGCCCTCCAACTCTCCCCCACTTACGTTCGTGCTGGTTGTCTGGAGCCACCTGGCAGCCGCTTTTATATCATTTCTTCCTTGTGGAGCTTCTAGGGAGGGGAAGTGTCCACAGTGCCTGAGGCTGACTTCCCAGAGGCTGACAGTGCTGTCAGGATCCTGC